CATTCATAAGAAGAGCTCGTTGTGTTAGTTCCGTGAGAGATTAAACAATAGCGGTATGTTCTTACTGTCAAGAAGTATTGAATTTCACTTGGCTTCTTCAATAACATTTCAGCGATACAATCAACAGGTACATTAATAATCAACAAATGCTGACAGTACAATATCAGTCTAAAAATCTTTAATTTTCACTTTCTATGTTAAAAATTTCATTCATTGAATTTCTCACCATTCATCGACGAAAAATTCTTTCGGATTTGTTGCAGATGTTTTCTCACTGTTCTACAAAACTACAATTTTCTCCTCCTGAAATACTTCTCCTGAAAACTGAGACGATGCATTTGGTTATTGCAAGTATTCAAATGTCGTTAATATTCTAGCAGACACGTCGGTGTTTCGTTAATTTCGCCATTATTCTAAAAACTACTTGCGCTTTCATGTATAGTGCACCTTTGAATCTGAAGCTTTGCAAAAATTTAAGAGCTTTTCATCAAAACCGAAGTTAAACGTGCCATTTCTTTGGAACTCGTCGCAATATACTTCGCTGCTTTTTCACTTTGCATCATCAATATTGCTCATTGTCAGTGATCTAAAATAGGCGCTGATTGCGTTCGATTCAATCAATTCACAATCATAAATTTTCGTTGGGGATGTTTCTATATGGATTTTAAAAATTCTCAAAACTTATAAACTAGGAACATTACAAAAGTGCTATAAATAACGTACGTTACATTAGTGACTTCATCGTGACGATAATATTATCGTTTCTTTAGAACACCAAACAAGCAACTGACACACTGTGTTGCTCTCACGATTAGCTATAGCTTATAATCGAAAGAGGGACGTTTTATCTGTATCAGCTAACAAAAAGTACATATCTCTGACGTAAGATCTGGTAATGTGAGGAATGTGGTGCAGCCAATGGACACCGCTTTTCATATTTTAATCCGTTCTTTGTGTCTTCTGATAACTGCATAAGTCAGTTAATCCATTCATCTGAAACGACGAGACAAACGTTCAACTCATCAAAAACTAATCTTCAACTGTTCAAATAATATCGAAGCAAAATCGAAATTGATTGTGAGCTTCTGACATCAAACAAATGTCCACTCAGCTCTATCCCTCCAACTTACCAAACACTTAACCAAATGCAATTAGTTGCAGAGTGGTAAATGAACACCTGCCTAACTAACTGTAACGTAAATGATCTAGTTATATCGTGAACATTCGGAATGCTTCACGGCTGGTTGCATGTAGCATTCCGTTGATTGGATAGCATTTTGCTTGATGTGGTGTTAGCAGTGTTCGTTGTTTTAGTGTGATGATGCACTTTTTGTATACAAAAATGTGTCTGAATCGATGATTTGGCTGCTGATCGATGCAAAAACCAAAAGTGTTATTTACGCGGAACGCAGTGCTGTTGGCGTTGCTCATGATCAAATGGCAGTCATAATCAGAACTATTCAAAACATCCTTTTCTCCGTTCAAGTCAACCAAAACCTTTGACGTCAATCTTTCCGAAAGCGACCGATATGAATCTTTTCAACCAATTTATATTGTTCTCCTCTTTGAATTGATTTGAACATTTTCAGAGCCGTATTGTTTTTCCACTCGTCTATCACTCTTCAAAAAAATTTTCTTTATTTCACCGCCAGTTTTTCCAACATTTTTGATATTACGTTTTTTTCACTTGCCATATTACCATTTATATTTGTGTAGGACCATTTACATACAAACAATCTGTGATTACAGTGTGTGATAAT